GACATTCCAGTTCAGGTGTTGTTCGATTCGGGGCACAACACACTTCCGACTTCTAAAATCCGTAACTTTCACATACGACCTCCGTTTTTGACGTTCTTTATATCCACGCATAGGTAAAAATAATATCTACAACTTTCATTTTGACTCCGTCGGCTAATTCTCGACCGATCTTAAATTTAACAGTACGAGGCGTTTAGATTGTTAAATGACCGTGAAGAATTCGTAACTCCTTCATACGGACTCTGTTTTCGTCTGTCTTTTTACTGTTAAGTTCCTATTAATGAGATCTTCAACTCTCATTTAACTCACCTAAGCCAAAAACCACTCGAACTAAAATTCGAGTTTCGGGTCGTGCACTGCTAAGCCGAATCTTAGAAAAATCATAATTTCTTCATACGAAGTTAGATTTGGGCTTTTTTTATGGATTTTCTCGGTTTAACATATTATACGACTTTCGTTTAGATCACTAAGGCTAAAAAGTCCTCCATCGTAAAATCACTATTTACGCTTCCTGGTGTCGTGCCGGTTCCATCGCGAAACTTCGACGGGTCATAACTTCTTCGTTATAACTCGGATTTTGACGCTGTTTATATGTACGGAAACCTTGTGACATATACTACAACTTGGTTAAGATTATTTATTCCAAATAATATTTTGCTGAAAAGTCATTTTCGACCCCTATTATCTCTAAATTTACTAGCCCGGATCTACGGGCGTTACAAGAAAACCCTCGACAAAGTGTTTAGTTTTAAAAACCCTAATTTCCACTGACCATTTTGATTTTAAGAGTGATTACATGGCAGACGTGTGGTTAATGCCATGTAATCATACATAATTGGGTTTAATAGCCACATATACATACCTAATTTCCACATCACCCGTTTTTTTATTTTTAATTATAAAATACCGGGATTACCTCTTGTATCCGATTGCCAATAGTAAAATATATACACGAAACACATATTAATGATATTTTTTATACAAGAAAATGAATGATATGTTTTAAAAAAGGATAAAAAATAATTACCCTTACAAATCATTTCCCTTTACCCAAAAATATATTTGAAAATTGGCAAAGAAGGGATTAAAAATACAATTATCCAATTAGTATACCTACCCCCATCCCACCCATTCCACCCCACCCGACCCTACTCCTCCCCAATCTTGACCTGCGTCATCGACTGCTTTTCGATTATCCTAAGCTCTCCTCTTATTCCGAGCTGCTCCAAAACGCTGCTGCAGTGTTCCTGATATGCAATAATCATAAGCTCAGCTAAAAGCTGTTTGGGGGGGTTTTTGTTTCAGGTCATTTACTCGAATGACGATCATGGGTTGTTGCGTTCTCTCTCGTGACACATCGGATCGTTTCTCCGACCGATGCTTCAACATCTTCCCCTGTCTCTCCGATCCCGGTAATACTCATACCTCCTTTCATACATTCAACTGTTCAAATTTAATTTGTGGTAATTCTGATCGCAGTTAGAAGATCTACGTTGTGTATGAAACTGGCGTTGGTGATGCTTCATGTAATCTTCGTTGGTTTTCTTTTCATATTGGATGAAGATTTGATAGAGAAATCAAAACAACAGCCTTGGTAAGCAGAGACGGATTCACTGGGGTACACACTTTTATACTATAACCTAAGTAAGGATCATTTGGTATTTTGCATATGATTTCAGCTGTTTAGGGCTTCGAAAACCAAAATTGTTGTTACTGATTTTGTGAAGATTGTATGTGATAATTAGGGGCTTACTGATTCGCTTTGTTTCGACTTTATCTACATGTTTGTTTCATTAGAGTTTGAAAGATTAAAAGCTTAACATTCTCAACATATCTTTCGATTCTCTTCACTTGTTTCATTATTCTTCATGTTATTAACAACTCACCTCAACTCAAACCTCTTTTCTACAGGTACACATCCATGTATATGTTGCTGGTTGTTGTTACATTAGTTCAGTATTTCTTTACATCTGGTTCTTCTCCAGGGTATGTGATGATAAACTTATATTATGTATTTAATAATTAATACTTTAATATACAATCTTATCCTTCTGTATAACAATTATATACATGCTCAGGTATGTGCTTGATGCAATGAGAGAATATGCTAAAACAGAAGCCTCATTAAGAGCATCAGAAATCTCAAAGTAAGCACTTATTCCAACTTTAAGGAAGGGTTAGATTCAAGAAACAGCAAAGTAATTTCATTGAATTGTTGAATTATGAATGCATGACAAATTGACAATATGTCAATATCTAATTGTGGTATCTTTCTTTGTTTATTGATGATGTTAAATGATCAAGCAAAGACAACCTGCTTCAAGCAAAAATGGGAGTGTAGTTGTGACTATTGACAACAACCAATTTGGAGAAAATCTTTTAGGGAATAACCCGATGAATTGGACAAAAATGGTGATGGAAATGTATCCACCTGGAACATCTGTAAGGTATAAGAAATTAAGAATCTGAATTCTCATCTAATTCATCTTGTCATGCATTTGTGCAAAAGACGTGAATGCCCTTCTTATTCTCATATTCAAAAAGCCCTAGAAAGCTTGTTCCTCATTTGCTTAAAAGAAAAGTTTGTTCTTTTTCTAATGATCTAAAAGCGGAAAACATGGAAATTTCCAATTTAGTCCCTCAACCAAAATTAGTAAGTGAACCAATTACTAACATCTTCTGTTTATTTCAGGACTTACACATGTTCATACTGTAGTGTTGTGCAGGTATCTCTCTTTTTTGCATCTTAATTTCATATGACCTAATTGTTTTTTTTAATGAAACTTCAATTGTTGACTAAAATAAAATTCTTGAAAAAAAAAATTGTAACTTTATTGCAGCCTCCAAGAGCAAAACATTGCCATGATTGTGACAGATGTGTTCTTCAATTTGATCATCATTGTGTTTGGCTAGGAACATGTATTGGCCAAGGCAACCACTGTAGATTTTGGTCTGTAATTCTAGTTTTTACATGTTTAATGCAAGAAATAGCAACATACTTTCATTTATTTTTTTACAATTATTTATTTTTGGGTTTATATAATTGACAGGTGGTATATTCTTGAAGAAACAGCCTTAAGTATTTGGACAGGTGTTTTGTATATTAAGTACTTACAAACTCACATAGAAAAGGCTTGGTATGTTTTCCTTTTATTTAACCACATTTACTTCTTAAAAAAAGTAGATGAAAAAAAAAATCTCCTAAAAAATATAGATTTATGTTGTTCAATGTTTTATGTTCATTGTTTTTAAATTTCAGGTTGGTAGATGTGATCATGATTATGCTGTTGTCTATCTTGTCAATTGCATTGATATTCCTTCTTCTTCTCCTTCTATTCCATAGGTGAGTTAATCTCTTCAAAGCTTAATGCAAGAAAAGAAATAGCAACAAAAGACGAGAATACCCTCCATCATTGGAAATAATAAAAAAAAGCTAATTTGTTTTTTTTTTTTTTTTAATCTTTTTAGTTATCTAGTTGTGACAAATCAAACCACATATGAGTTGGTGAGACGAAGGCGTATACCATATATGAGGTTAGTCCGTTACATTATTATTATTATTAATATTATTATTATTATTTGGTAAAGTGAAAAATGGGGGCAAAGTTGTGAAAAGGTTAGCACTTAGGCTCTGTTTGACACGCCACAGCTAGTTGATAAGCTAGCTTATTTTTCAAGTTTTTTTATGTTGTCGTGTTTAGTAAGCCAAAAAGTAGCTTATAAGCTAGCTTTTTTAAAAGCTACTTAGACTAGCTTTTTAGGAGCTTTTTTAAAATTTTCCAAATACACCCCTTAATTAATTATAGAAATGCATACTCTTACATGTCATTTTATGTAATTTTATATATTTCAGCTAGCTTTTCAGCTAATTTTACCAAACGTTATTTTTTATCAGCTAGCTTTTATCAGTTCGTTTTTTATTTAACAGCTAGCTTTTCAACTATCAGCTAACAGTTAGCTTTTCAGCTAATACGCCAAACATAGCCTTAGGCTATGTTTCGCTTATTACCTGAAAAGCTAGCTGTTAGCTGATAGTTGAAGCTATCTGTTAAAAAATGGTATTTGGTAAAAGTAGCTGAAAGATATAAAATGACATTTAAGAGAATGTGTTTCTATAATTAATTAAAGGGTATATTTGGAAAATTTTAAAAAAGCTTACTACTCTAAGTAGCTTTTTAAAAAACTGGTTTATAAGCTACTTTTTGGCCTGCAAAACATGACAACTTAAAAAAGCTTAAAAAATAAACTAGCTGTGGCGCACCAAACAGTCTTAATGGGTGAAGCTTCATTTCCTCTAGCTTTATTAATTCGTTCTTTTTGAATCATGTCAAATCAGTATTAAGTCCATTAAGTAAAAAAGAAACAGAATCTGACAATTTTATGAATTAAAATGTAGGGCGATTCCCGAAAGAGTATATCCATTTAGTAAAGGTGCATGTCGAAATTTATACAACTTTTGTTGTGCAAGAACAAGTGTATATGCAATGGAACAACTACCAAATGCACTTGAGCTAGAGCAAAAATCGGTACCATATACGTGTTTTGATGTTATGAAATGTAGATGTTGTTGTTGAAAGTGTTGTTACTTGTGTGCATGTAGCAAATTTTTCAAAAAAAAAAAAAAAAAAAAAAAAAAAACAAGTTTGTAGTATTGATCATTTGATAATGTTGTTTGTTTTTGCTTGATTGAGAAAGGAAGTGAAATGTAGCGGCGTTATATTTGGATTTGATTAGTTGTAATATGTTTGTGATATAATTTTTGGTTAGGAAAGTATTTTGCTTAAAGTGATAATTGAAATAAAGTGTGTTGTTATATATTTTAGTGAAAAATATAAAAAAGAAACACTAGGCTAATATTGTAAACAGGGTGTGCTTTTATTATTTCATCGTCTTTTCCATTGAGCAATTGTGATTTATTGATTTAACCACTAGGCTAATACTGTAAATAAATAATAGTTTGATGGCTAATTCAATAATAAAATGGTGAAATTTTAATGAGGGACATCTTTTACATGTTTGTTTTGTATGTGACATCCATAAAATTTACATGTGGGAATGCATACCGCATCTTTAATTATATTCAACGAGCAAAAAATAAATCTTGAAGTTTACTTGTTGATGTACCTCTACGACCGCGATAAACAGAGATAACCACCTGCATTTGAGTTTTTCCATTTTTTCTCCTTTCTTTATTTTTTTTGGCTGGCATTATATTTTTGGAAGTGTAGATACATTTTCTATATTTTGATATTTTATTTACCATAATGTAACCAAGTCAGAACCTCGTATTTTGAGCTCAATCTATTATTTGTTCGATTGAATACTTGAAAATGATTTTTATTTTGAAACTGCTAAATTTACTGATTAATAACTATACTAATAAATCTAATTTTTATTAGGGAAATCTTCAGAAAAGTCTTATTATTTTGAAAAATTAGTGATTAAGTCCCAAGTTAATTTTGTTTTTAATATAAAATTCCAACAAACCCGTGAATTTCTCCACTTTAACTTTTTTTGACATGTTCATGATGAGGACAAATCATTAATTTTCCAAAAACAATGAGATTTTTTTTACATATTTTCTCAAAATTTATATATGCAATATAAATGCATTTTTATGTATTTATGTCTTTTTAAGTATTTTTTATTTATTTGTGTATTTTTTTTATGTTTTTTATTTACTTTTTTTTTTTTATGTTGTTTATGTATTTAAAATGTATAAATATATATTTTACGTATTTATATGAATTTTTAAGTATTTTTACATACTTTTATGTGTTTTGATACATTTTTTCCCGTATTTATTATTTTTTAAAAGTATTTTTTTTTACGTATGTTTAAGTATTTTGGAATGTTGTTTTTACATATTTATGTATTTTTACTTATAGTTTCATTGTAAGCCAATTATTAGACCTTGTAAATAAAGGAAAAAAAACACTCTAGCACTTTAAAAAAAACATTTTTCAAAGACAGACATTAGCAATTAACGCCATTTTTGTAGGTAAATTCTTCTGTTTTTTTTATTGACTTCAGTTTTTGGATGAATAAAGTTTACGAATACTCTTTATTATTAACGACAAAGACATTCATAAACTTTGTATATCTACAAACTGAATTCAAGAAAAAATGAAAATTTTTACTAGCAAAAATGGTGTTGACTACTAATGATCATCTTTGATAATGTTTATTCATTTACAAGGTTTAATAGTTAGCTTACAATGAAACTTGAAATAAAAAATATATATAAATACACATAAAATTTTTGAAAATACTTAAAAATTACATATACATATGTAAAAAAAATATGCTTATACATTTAAAATTCATAAAATTATGTAAAAAAACTATATAAAAAGTTTTAAAAATACATAAATATGTGAAAATTTTACCAAAATTTATAAAAGAAAGTAAAAAGTTATATAAATACTTAAAAAATATATATACAAAACTTTAAAAAAACATAAACACATTATATATATATATATATATATATATATATATATATATATATATATATATATATATATATATATATATATATATATATATAGGTTCAGGTTCATTTGAGACCATTCTAATTTTGTGAAACCGTGAGACTAAATCTAAAAATAATTTTAAAATGGAAAAATCCAAAAATTCTTTTTTTAAATATTATTTTCGGAACTTGAATTAACTAAAAAAATATAAAAAATATAAAAAAAATTGAAAAAAATAAAAAAAATTCCGTTTTTTTTTTGAAAAATACGTGAAATATTCTAAATAGAATATTACACTGACATATTCTAAAAAATAATTTTAAAATGCAAAAGAAATGGAAAAATCTAAAAATTCTTTTTTTAAATATTATTTTCGGAGCTTGAATTAACTAAAAAAAAATAAAAAAAAATTCTATTTTTTTTGAAAAATACGTGAAATATTCTAAATAGAATATTATACTGTACATATTCTAAAAATAATTTTAAAATGCAAAATAAATGGAAAAATCAAAAAATTCTTTTTTTAAATATTATTTTCGGAACATGAATTAAATAAAAATAAATAAAAAAACAAAAAAAAAAAAAAAAAAAAAAAAAATAAAAACATGCGTCTCACGGTCTCACAAAATATAGGTGGTCTCAAATGAACCTAACCCTATATATATATATATATATATATATATATATATATATATATATATATATATATATATATACACACACACACACACACGTAAAAATATTAAAAAAATCATAATAAAAAATAAATAGATACATGAAAAATATCAATATACTTAAAAACTCATATAAATATGTAAGAAAATACATTTATACATTTAAAATACATAAAAAAAACTATATAAAAAACTTTTAAAACTTAAATAAATACATAAATACATTAAAAAAATATAAAAATACGTAAAAATATTTAAAAAACTGTGTTTATATATTATAAACAAATTTTGATAAAATCTATAAAAAAAATCTCATTATTTTGGGAAAGTGAAGAAACTTGTCGATTTCTTGTTTTTTTTTTAAAAAAAAAAATTGAGACTTGATCTTCACTTTTCCTAAAATAATGTGATTTTTATGCATTTCCCAACTTTTTAGTTTTTACCATGTTATTTTCAATTTATGATGAATCATTAATGAATAATTTATTTTGTTAACACTATATCGATGTGCATTGCTTGTGAGAATATCGTTAGCCTAATCTATACATATAAATATAAATATATGTGATTTACATAAACAAAAATATTTTATTGGTAACATACCTCACAATTGTAAATACTTTGGTCAGCTCCTTTTGTTAATTATATTATCTTTTTGAATCGGGCACAATAAAAATTTTATTGAAAGAGTCTATTTACAATAAAAAATTTATGCATAATATTTACAAATTATAACCCTTTTAAGTTTTAGCCTTGTTTACTCTATTTTACCCCTATTTATATTGTTAAACCTTATATCTTATGCTAAATTATAAAATATATAATTATATATTGAATTTTAAGAGAGATAAGTTAAAAACTTTTTGTACAAATAAATCATTAATACTTATCAAAAATTGAAAACTTAAATTATGGAAAATTATTAAGAAATTCAATTTGGAGCAAAATAATAATTTTAAAATATTAAATTGATGTATATAAATTAATTTACTTTTTAAATTAGACACCGATAGTAATTAGTTTACATCAAATGTATGAACAAACAATATAAATATAAGGATTAAATATAAATATTTTATTTAAAAATGATAATTTTTTTATTATATATTAACTAATAATAAAATCTAATAATTATTTCTGCATAATTAATTTATTCGCTAGAAAAACTATTTATTATAGCCGCTTTGCGTGGACATACATCTAGAATCATATTAATTATTTAAATACAACACATATTACATTATAGTAACTCTATGTGGAAGGATTTTTATTTCTAATTGAAAAACAAGTAAAAATAAGGTAATTATTTTGGACACCATGAGGTATTTGGGAAAGAGTTCCCCACCCTCTCCTTTGCCTCTACCCAAGAAAACTAAACCGAGATAAGCCAATGCTTGAATGTGAATTATTTATAAAAAATACTCAAATAGGTGTAAGCCCCACGGGAGGTCTTGACACCATACATTCCATTCCCCCTTGCTCCCCATCATCTACCTTGACCTAAGGGTACATGTTCGTTTCCAAAATCAGACTGAATGCAATCGAAGTGATTTAATAGAAACCAAAATTATGGTTTCCAAGAACCAATAACCGGACCATGAGTATGTCAATGGTTCCTAGTTATGGTACAGTTAGTTGGGTTATAGAACAGAATAGTCCGAAAATCGCTAGATAGTCTAAAATGGAACCAATTATGAGTTTGGAACCAAAATAAACAAATTTTGAAGGAATATTTATAATTTGTTTTTATATTTGTATTTACATGTCACTTTATTGATAATAGAACATAGTATCATAAAATACACAACCATATTTTATTAGAAGATTATTTCCAATTATCAATCCCAATATAATAATTAAAAAGATATATATTATAAAAATATTTACAAAGTTGGAACCATTTTCTTGATAAACTTGAAACTTCACAACGTTGATCATCATTCTTTCCACTTAAGAGATAACGATCCAATTCTATCATCATTAAATAACATTTCAGATATGTAAATAACGAAAAAACCCTATTATTTGTCATTACCAAATAATATTTATAAAACTTTGTTTAACAAAAAAAATTGAGACAGCTAAAATCACCTCTCTCTCTCTCTCTCTCTCTCTCTCTCTCTCTCTCACTTGCCACCAGTCTTCCATTTCTTGATCGGAAAGATGGTGACTTTCCGCCTTGGCGGACGCGGATCTCTGGCGGCATGTGGTGGCTGAAATGGCCGACTCATTTGTTGATCTTCATCTCTATGATCCTTGAAATCCGCCAGTGGTTTTATCTCAAATCCTCCTCGAGTAAACCCTCTTGCAACCTGTTATCATCGCATCAAAATCAAATTAGTTATTTTTTCTAATTCAGATATTATATTATCCCCAATTGCTTTCGATTACGCATATACCTTAAGCAAAATCCATACTCTAAGAGAACTACTTAGAATCGCTAATCGTGTCCTCTTTCCCGAAGTCAAATAACTCCCCATATATCGGTCAACCATCAGAACAAAT